CTGCGGACTTCATGGAGCGGTCACTCTCAAAATCGTCTACCTGCCTGCCTGTTCGGCCTGTCTGAAGACATCAAAGGTAGATGAACGTTTGCTGAGATAAGATGCTGAAGTCTAGCTCGGAGGTGTCTCGTTCTGACATGCTGTGTGCTGGTCTGGTCCTGACTTAAAGAAAAGTGCCAAATTCACTAATTTACTTTTCCTACTATTCTTAATGCTTAAATCTTTACCTTTATTCTTTTGTTTACTTAAAACTTAGTTAAGCAGCGTGCCAGTAAATTACTACACCTGAAATTTACTGTTTGTAATAACTCTGAGGTGAAATTTTTATGTCGAAAAATATAACGTGTTCATTTATTCATATAATATTTTTAATAAATGTTTGTATGTTTAATCCTGTTCATATATCTAAAAATAAATTACTTTATTTTGGAAATACGTTCAGGTCACAAGTTTTCATTTCACTTTCATGATCAGAGTTGATATCTTGTCATTTCACTTTGATTTCATAACACAAAGATCTTGCGTGAGTTCTTACAGTGTGGAATTGAGCTGGTCTTAATTTCATAGAGTGAGTTCTTACATATTGTTAACAGGGGGTGGAGTGATACTGGCATACATCTAAATACAGAATATCCCTCCTTTAAGGAAAATCTATAAAAGAAGTATGTTTCCAATGATTTTTAACTATCACATACCACAGTATCGCTGTCTCCCAATTGAAAATTTTCCTTTAACTTAGTACCTCACTCTTTTTTTTGTCATTTAAGTGTTATTAAATCAACTTTTGGATATTATCATTATTAGTCAATAGAATTTACAGAATAGAAATGAAGTGGACCATGTTCTGCTCTTTTCCCACAGCTTTAATACATAATACTGAATAAAATAATGACACTTACTGTACATACATCTTTTAAAAGCTCTCAACATTTGCACCTTCATAAATCATTTCTTCTTCATTAATCAGAACAAATCTTTTGGATTCTCCATGGTATTGTTTTACTAATRTACTTTCAGCTCAAAGCTGTAAAGAGCTTCATTAGCTTCGATGAAATCATTTTATTAGAGTGATCTAAGATTCATTCAAGGAATTTCCATTTTCTTTCCAAACTAATGTGTCATTTATTGGTTCACATTCGTAGACAGAGATGTTTGTGAGCACAGTGTTCTTGTGTGGGCTGAGTGGAGAGTTGTCTCACCAGCGTGTTGTCGGCCACAATGTAGAGCTCCATGTATTTAGTCGTGCCCCACGTATTTCTCTTCACCTGATGTTAAAGAGAACAGAAGATAATTATTCACAGGACACAGGCTAAAATGATTATCAGAGCTAATTATAAAAGTCCAAAACATTATGACCACTCATTTTTTTAGAAATGGCACCTGAGACACTTGTTAGACAGGTCCAGTGAAATGTCCAGCAAAGACCCGGCTTTYTCTTGCCTGGTCCATGCCTTCATACACAGTCCCATTCAGTTCTAATCTCTGTTTTCTGCTCTGTCTGGGGATTTCTCCCATAGACAAGGATTTCTCCAGTAAAATTTCAACTGGGCCAATCAGTGAACAGAAGGAGGAGTGGAGGAGGACGATGCACTGTTTTAGTCTGCCTGTAGTTTAGCAATGGCAATGGAGGAAGTGAATGAAGTCATTCAGTCCGTGTTGGCTCACAAAGCCTGCAGCACTCATTTACAGCCATCTTGTTCGGCTCAATACTTCTCTCCTCTCAGTAGGGCCGGGCTATTCAACTAAATTGTTCCGGGGGCCACAGTTACTGCAGGTCAACAGCGCAGGGGCCAAACATCCAGCAAATAAAGTTATAAACCAAGTATTACAAAGARGTGATACCTTTGAAAAAGTTTATTTTGCTGTATTTAATCATGACAACAAACAACATACAGAACCCTATAAAAGTAGTGATAATTAAACAGTATCAAATACAAAAAGAACACATTATTCCTCCTATTCCTACTTTAATATTATTTTGACATCTCTGACTTGCCAAATTTTTAAGCCAATTTTATTTTCACTTTTATCATTTTATCTTCAACTGCTTGTAAATTTAACTGTCTCGAGTGTTTACAGAAAGAGCTTCTAAACAAGATTCTGACATTTCTGTAGATACAAAACATGTCTATGTTTAAATAAAAGGACTTAAAGTAATTAAAGAGAAAAACCAGGGGTTTGGGTTAAGAGATGAGTGAACCAATTGGCGGGCCGAACTTTGGTCACTCGCGGGCCGGATGTGGCAGTTGAATAGCCCTGCAGCAGGGGATGGTTGTTTACAACAAACACAATTTCCGGTTAGCTTCTTAGCATAGCTTCCATTACAGTCAAGCTTGTGCACTGCATCCATCATGACCAAACGTTGTGACAGTTCCACTTTTTATGATTTTATTGCTATTTATTTATGACTAATTAATTTGGATGCCAGTCAGGTCTCCCTCCTGACATATAGGATTTTATTACCGGTGTGTGAGATTTACTGCTATTTTATAATGGTTTAGCTTTGTTTAGGTTTTAACCTGTTACACAAGGACATACATTATAAAAACTATACCCTTTTCAAACCTTAGTTATTCAGTGACAAAATAATAAAAATGGAGCACAGACAAATTAATTCAAACTTTTTCAAATATATTATTTACAAACACAAAATAGAACAATACAAATACAAAAATAATACAAAACAAAATATGCCCCAGTGTCCATTTGTGTTGTTAAAACCACTTCAATTCAGAGTTCAGTTTAAGCTTGGCTCCACAAGCAAAAAGTTCATGTGGATTAAGGTTGAGCTTAACACAGCTCCACAACTTTAAACTTGGCTCTTAAAGTCTCAAGTTCAAGCTTCATACAGCGGGTAAAATAAGTATTGAACATGTCACCATTTTTCTCAGTACATATATTACTAGAGGTGCTAATGACATGAAATTTTCACCAGATGTTGGTAACAACCCAAGTGATCCATACATACAAAGAAATCAAACCATAAATATCCAGAAATTAAGTTATTTGTAATAATGTGGAATGGCACAGGGAAAAAGTATTGAACACATGAAAAGGGGGGTGTTAAAAGG